TGAGGCTGGAGAGGCTCAAATTGTAAAGCACCTGCCTAGCAAGCATGAGGCCCTGAGTTCAAACCCCAGAACCAAAAAAAAAAGTTACAAACTGCATTTTACTCCCTCTCCACTCATCTTCATCAAAGGTATGTTATTTTTTTGAGAGGTGCAGTAGGGGGCTGAGACAGGGTCTCACTATGTAGCCCAGGCTGGCCTAGAACTCACTATGCAGCCCAGGCTGGCTTTAAACTCATGATCCTCCTGCCTCTACCTCCCACTCCCAAGTGTTGGGATTACAGACATGTACCATTATGCCTAAATTCATTATGGGTATGTTATAATCTTATTTATTCCATTCCATTTAAATTAAAATTAAGTTTTCCATTGAGAAGGTACTAGCACTCTAGGACAAGTTTTAAAGGGGGAGTCTCTACAAATTTATTAACACAACGCCAGCATAAATTCCAGTTCTATAAATCTCACTATCCAGAGAGGCTTAAGTTTGAGTAGAGCTTTGCCAGTCTCACCTGACCATCTGGAAGAAGCCAGGACCCTTCAGTTGCCATGGGAGCCAAGGCAGATCTGTGGCCATCAATCATTTAATAAGCACTTTCTGATGCATGTCAAATCATCACACTGTACACCTTAAGTAAATATAATTTTTATTTTTCAATTAAATATTTTAAATAAAAAATAAAGTCTGCTGTGCTTAAATTCCTATTAAAATTTCTAATAAAGCTGGTTTTCACTAAATAAATTACTAATGCAAATTAAGAATAAGACATGAGACTGGACTGAAGGTGTGGCTCAAAAAGCAGAGTGCCTGCTTTGCAAGCATGAATCCCTAAATTCAAATCCCTGTCCCATCAAAAAATAACAACAAAAAGACACAAGACTGATGGAAAAACAATGAGATGCAAACATAATAAAAATAATTCTTGCTTTCAATAAATTCACCATGTGCTGGGCACTACTAAATGACTCACATCTATAATCTTAGCTACTTGGAAACTAAGATCAGGAGGACTGCAGCTTGAAGCCAGTCCAAGCAAATAGTTCTAGAGACCCCATCTTGAAAATAACCGGAGCAAAATGGACTGAAGGTGTGTCTCAAGCGATAGAGCACCTGCTTTGCAAGTGTGAAGTCCTGAGTTCAAACCCCAGTCCCACAATAAATACATACATACATACATACATACATACATACATACATACATACACATACACACATCATCCAAAGACTGATTGGCTCAAATACTATAAAGATATAAAAATGTTACATGATGAATGCTGTAAGTGTGTGCAAAACTCTAAGGGTGCTGTCATTTGTGACAACATAGAACTGAAGATCATTATGCTAAGTGAAATAACCCAGACACAGAAAGAAAATAACCAAGTGATCTCACTCATGTGGAATCTGAAAAAAAAAAAAGATGACCTAATAGAAGTAGGGAGCAGAATGGTGGTTACCAGAGGCTCAGGCGAATATAGGAGAGGGAGAAATCAAGGTGGATAATGCTACTAGGTTGTAGTTAATAGGAGCAAGAAGTTCCTTTTCAGGCATTATCTATAATCACCCTATTGCACAACAGGATGACTATAGGTAATGATCATGTACTGCATACTTCAAAAAGCTACAAGAAAAGATTTTGAAAATTTTTGCCACAAAGAAATGATAAATGTTTGAAGATGCACGTTTTACCTGATTTAAACATTATACAATATATGTGTATGTATTGAAGCATTACATATTAGCCCTCTAATATGTATAATTTTTATGTACCAGTTAAAAACAAATTTAATTCTTAAAAATGGAAAACCTAAGGAATACAGAAGAGGATCTATCTTTAGACAGAAGGAAAAACTTCATAGAAGAGACAATATCTTAACTGGATAATCAAGGAAAAACAGGAGTTTGTGAGTGGAAAGGGGAAGAAGGGCCTTCTAGCAAAAGCTACTTTGTGCACAATAGCATCAGATAAGACTAGTAGAAGCAGCAGAGGCCAAACCTGGCAAGATATGAATATCATGCTAAGAAACTTGGGAGGCGGAGGCCAGAGGCCATAGACCAGTTTTCAGGTACTGGTAGTTGTAATCCACTGAAACCAATTTAGTGGGTGACATCTTTAATTTCTGCTTAAAATGAATTCAAATAGAATAGGACATGTCAGAAATTATCTGACATTATAAAGACAAGTTTTATAAAACTTTTCTATCAGATACTTGTGTGCATACAAGGTAACAAAGTAAAATGTTACTATGGCTCAGGGTCAAAAAGTTTGAGTTAGATGACTCATGATTGACCAATTAGGTGAAGGGAATGAGGGAAAAGTTAAGGAGAATTCCCAAGTTTCTGGTATGGGCACCTGAATGGATTCACAATGCCACTAACTAAGGTAAAGAAAAGAAGAGGAGGGTTGCTTTTATCAAGTCCATGTGGGGATGCTGGATAAATCAAACAGCAGCCTCTCTCTCAGCATTTTTTTCAGCAGTCAGAGTCAATAATAATATTGTACAGCAAAGACAATGAATGCATAGTCACCGCAGCTACAACCTCACATGAATAACGAATAAGGGTCTTGTGGGAACTAGAGGGGAACCCAGTCCTAAAACCCAACCCACAGAAAAACTGTAGAACCAGAAGAGACAGGCAGGACAAGTGAAACATCAATACTTCCTCCAGGGAACTAACAGGATGTGAGAAATTCTGTCCCTATTTTAAGTACCACCACCCTTGGGAACCCAAGGAGACCTGTCGCAGACACTTCAGACAACTGGCTGCCTTCAAATACATGTACATGGGCATGTACTGCACATGTACTGTCTTTTGCTCCTAATATTCTCTAATGTAAAATGTCCTCCCTTTCTCTGACAGGAATTCTATTTGCCCTTCACAGTGTAACTCAAATGTTACCTCTACCACAGAACCACTCTTTATCCAACTCCCTCACCCGCTGCCACCAAATTTGGATTAAGTTGTACCTCATTGGGCTTCCACAGCAACTGCTTGTGCCTTGGGCTTAGCATTTTATTACATTCCATTAAAAGCAAGTGTTCTTTATGACTATTTTCTACTAAAGTTTCTTGAAGGTCTAGACCATGTCATAGCCTTCTCTCCAAAACTCCAAGGTCCTGAACACACAGTAGGGTTCTCAAAGTAAGAGTTTGCTCATTCTGGTAAAAATAAATAAATAAAAAAGCTACTGATTCATTCCACCCAAACCTGGAGATCATCAGAACTAAGGGTAAGGAAGAAGGTGGAGGGGAGACTAAGCATAGATTGAAGCAGACAGTCTTCCTCCCCTATTTAACTGGTGGTGGTATACCCTACTCCTCTGAGAAATTTAACCAACCTCAGCAAAGAAAGTTCAGTAAGCACAGTTCAGAAACTTTAAAGAACTACAAGTAGTTTCAAGGCTTTCCCACTTGCTATTAGTCAGGTATTGACCTTGGGATGTGGTCATAGGGATTATATACTTTATTTTGCCATCCACTCCCTCTACCACTTTGATACCTCTAGCTTTAAGGGTAATAAAGAGTCTTTCATACAGGCTCTGAATATTATCTTTGAACTCCTCTGGGAACAGCTTAGCCTTCTCTCAACCCTCCCACCTTTCCAGTGAATAATTCTACCCTGCTACCTCTGAAGTCTTCAGTTCTTTTTTTTTTGGTGGAGGAAGCAGTATTGGGGTTTGAACACAGGACTTCATGTTTGCTAGGCAGGTGCTCTATCACCTGAGCACTCCACCAGTCCAATTCTCAGTTCTTAAAAAAAGTAGTTTTCCCCTCAATATACCCAGGTTTCCTCCCTGAAATCTCTCCCTAACCTTCACCATGAAGACCAAAGGAAGGCAGTACATCTTGAACTGCCTGACTAAAAGTCATGGCATATTTCAGAGAGCTAATAGAAAGTGTTCTGATAGCTGCAACTTCTTATCTGATCCTATAAAGACTACCTGCATTGTATTATAGAACTTTGCCATTCTAGTTTATAAATGACCATTTTATGCAGCTTATCTCCCTTTAAAGTTTGATTGTGAGCTTCTTGAGAACTATCCCTAGATCCCAGCAAAGTGCTCAGGACATAGTGTGCACTCAATAAATACTGACTTAGGAAAAAAAATAAAATAAACTGCCACTTCAGGCTCCTTAGCCAACTCAGTGACGATGTGAGTTCAGAAGAAGAAACATTTCAGAGGTGATCAAAACCAAAGTCTTTATATAGCAGTCAGAACTGTGATGCAAGTCAGCTGAAGGCAATCTCAAACAAGGATCCTTTTTACAAGGTGGCCATTCCCCACGTTCCTCAGATGCTCACTATGGTCAAAGTAGTACACCTACTCCTCCAGAATTTACTTTCCCAAGATCTGGCAGTTAAAAAATACATTCCCCAACCCCCTCTTCAACTATTCCTATATCCCTCTGACCTTTAATACTGTGTAACAGTAGATGAAAAATTGATTTTTCTTGGCTACTTATTTCACAGCTGAAGAAAAAATATACTGTTTAAGGTGTTAAATATTTTTACATGCAACAAACCTAGCATGACCCTAACCTGTATGCACATTTTAGAGGTACAGGCGTAAATGTCAGTGCTATAATTTGTTATAGGTTTCTGATGACCAGCAATGAAAATGACCACGGATTCTCACAATTCAAACCACTTTTACGTAAATGTGAACTTTCCTAAAACAGCCAAGGGACGGAACTTTCCATCCAAACTCAGAGTCTCTTAGAGATACTGATAGCATTGTTCACTGGGTTAGGTGTTCTTTGAAAAAAATCTAACTAATATTAATTTCTTTCCAGGCCTATGTTTTGACCTTTAATAAAAATGTGCTCCAAAAATAAAGAAAAAGAAAAAAAAGTGCTTCAAGACAGCAGTTATTAAAATGAAAGGAATAGTCTTCCATGCCTAAACAACTATTTCATTTAGTCAGCCCTACAGAAGGCAATATTTTATAAATCAAAGTGTTAAATGCACACATTTGGTAACTTCACATAGATTGCTCACTTACCAGACATGAAGCAGGGTTATAAGAAACCATGAATTGAATGTATCAGGCATCTGACACCCTAGAAAATAACAATAAAGTATAAATATGTGAAAGTTTAAAAGAGGCATATTGACTATTTTAAATACTGCTGGGAATTTATTCAACAAAAATATATGGCAGTATAGTGCTTTCTGGTTATGGTGTCATACAGAAGAGCGGGGGCACCTCAAGACCACGGGTTGGAAGAACATTGAATACAGACAGATAACCTTGCTGTATGGCCTTGCACAAATCACTTCTTCCATCTGAGTCTCAGTTTTTTTATTTTGCTTAATGTGGCCTACAAGATTTCTAGGGTTCCTTCCGAGTTCCATGTGATTTTTCTCTTACTAGGCTTAAATTCTGAGAAACTAAGCAAACAACATCTCACCTACTCTACTTACAGACTAGCTTTTCTTACTTGAGCCTTCTCCTATCTTCTTTCTTTGAGATGACCCAATGTGGTATGGTCATGGGTATGCTGAATAATTTACAAAAATGACCAGGAGGAAAAAAAAAAAGTGGGGTTCTTGGACACTACAGATGAGTAAGAAAGCAGACAATCTCATGAAAGGCCATTCATTACTATCAGGAATGACAAAACTGGGCAGGGCTTCTTGGTTTCAGATACCACAGATCATGCCTGTGCTCAGACATCCAAGCCTCTCAATTCTCAAATTTCTAAGAAATGCCTCTGGCTGAATTAGGCTTCTCCCATTGAATGTGCCCTCCTTAGTATATAACAGGGAGAAAAGCTAGAATAAGAGGATAAAAGGAAAAGCAAAATCAGTGGGAAATTTGGACCTTTATGGTAGAATCTGTGCTTTGGAGCAATAACTCAAGAAAGAAGTAAAGGCTGAGTATGGTGGTATATACCTATAATCCAAGAACTTGAGAGGTTGAGGCAGAAAGATCAGGAGTTTGAGGCCAAGCCATGGCTAAACAGTGAATTCCAGACCAGTCTAGGCTACCTACTGAGACCCTGCTTCAAACAAAACAAAACAAAACAGAAGTTGTATCCTCTGCTTTTCAGCAGTGAGGTACACACAATTACCAAATGATAACAAATAGGGGTCACTAGGAGATAATACCCTGTGGGGTATATTAACACTACCAACACTAATAAGGAACTGTAATTCATTGTGGGCTTACAATGTGCCAAACATTATAATAGGTGTTTCACATGCATTAGCTCAACGAATTCTCCTTATGAGTTGGGTACTGATATTATCCCCATTTGACAGGTGAGAAACTGTTAGAGGGATCAAGACCATCACCCAAGGTCATAGAATCATGAAATAAGACACCTAGGGTCAAAATCAGATTTTCTTCACTCTAGATACCGTCTTCTTAATTGTGACTTCAATTGCTTCTCTAATACTAAGAATGGAAACACTTGAAGGGCTCATACTACAAGCCAGGTCCACTACCAATCAGGTTAATATATTATCTCACTTAATCCTCACTCTAATGCTAGGGAGAAGCATTATAATCCTATTTTAGCGATAAGGAAACAGGCTCAAAAAGGCTAAGTAACTTGCAGGCAGCCATAATGTCAACAAGCTAGTGGCAGGGCTGGGGTTTGAATCCAGGTCTGTAACAAAATGACACCAAAATATTTTGCTGAGCCTACTGGGAGGCACCCAGCAGCTGTTAAGTGGACTTCCTCTCTGAGCTCAGCAGGAGGGAGTTCAAGGTTGGCCTGGCCAGGCAAGCAACAAGATGCATGCCATCTGAGAGTGGGCCAACCACCCTCCACCTAGAACGAGAATAGCCCTGAGAAACTCTCAAGTCCAGATCTGAAGTTGGGTCTTTTTTTGGATTCGAGAACAAAACATTAAAAATAAGTTTTCTTGGAAGTCTGTCTTTCAATCTGGAAAATGAAATTTGGCTGCTTCTAAAGGACAATCTGTTCAACTGCTACCTCTACATCAAAGCTTCCCAGCAGCCTCCAGGAGCCTGTCCAATTTCCTCAGAGAGGGAATCAGTTCTTGGGCTGGAAAGCACAGACAGACAGACAGGCCAGCAGCTGGACCTGGGTCACAACTTTCCCTTCTGAGGGTCAGTTCAGGGCTGAGGATGAGAAAAGAACTGGCATATAAATGAGTACCCACTGGGTTCAGAACAGAAGCCTAAAAAATAACATCAATGATTATTGACTGTAAGCAACACAAAAATACAACAGATTTTTTTGCTGAATGAAAAGTATTTACATACTTCAAAGTTAAAACCTACTGAAGTCCTTTGTTATGAACACATTTCTTGCTCCAGTACACATTCCGTGCATTATTTTCTGAGACTAGGTACTTTCTCAACACCAATTTTGATAAAAAATTGAACAATTCATTACTGTCCTGGGAAGCTTACATGAATACATTTTACTGCCTCATTGAAAATCTTGATTCTACCCCAACTTGCTACACATCCTTCCTTACCTTATACAGTTTAAGTAGGATTAAATGAGATAAGGCCTATAAAGTGCTTAGCAAAATAGTTACCATTTAACAAGTATTTGATAAATATTCTGTATCAGTTTTCAGTAACTAGAGTTCAAATTATCTTTGAAAAATTTTCACAGATTATTTAAGATTGTATCATGTTACTGAGGTGAGCCTCAACCTCTGACTCAGAACATTGTCATTACAGACCTATTCCTCAAGGTAATAAGTCTCTCAGGGGCTAAAGAAAAAAACAGTCTGCACATAACAGTATGGAATTAAACACAAGCTTCACTGACTGGCACCTGTGTTCCAAAGTGCTTTTCATAGTAGAAGTGATCTCCAAAAGACCAGTCAGCAAACTGTTGTGAACACAGAAGGCAGGCTCATTTATGATAGACAAGGGTCATCATCAGGGCATCTAGAAACAAGGGTTGGGGGCATAGTGCAAGTGGTAGAGCACTTACCTAGCAAATACAAAGCCCTGAGTTCAAGCCCTATCAAAAAACAAAGCACAACCCCAGCCATGCTGGGTGCTCATGCCTACCATTCTAGCTACTTGGGAGGTGAAGATCAGGAAGATCGTGTTTCAAAGCCAACCACAAAAAAAGTTAGCGAGACCCTATCTCAATCAATAAGCTAGGGATGGTGGTATACCTGCTCTCCCAGCTACATAAATAGGAGGATCGTGGTTCAGGTGGCCAGAGCATAAATGTGAGACCCTATTTGAAAAATAAAAAGCAAAAAGGAACTGGGTGCCAGTGGCTCATACCTATAATCCTAAATACTTAGGAGGCAGAGATCAGGAGGATCAAGATTCAAAACCAGCCAGGTCAAATAGTTCAAGAGATCCTATCTCAAAAAATCCATCAAAAAATAGGGCTGGTAGTGAAAGAGAGAGAGGGAGAGACAGACAGACAGACAGACAGAAACATTTGCTACTAAAATATTTTACCACTCAGAATCCCCAATATGTAGCTCTCTGGATTTAAACTTTTGAACACTTTGGCTCTGAAATGGCAGTCTGTAATTTTTGCATTTTATAAATCAACAAAAAGGTTGACAGGCACAACATATTGTGAGTATACAACTCACTCATATACCATCTAGAAGAAATGGCACCAACCAGGCATTGCTGGCTCACGCCTATAATCCTAGCTACTAAGGAAGCAAAGATCAGGAAGATCATGGCAAATAGTCTGTGAGACTGTGTCTCATAAATATGCAACACACATGAAAAAAAAGTGCTGGCAGAGTTGCTGAAGTGGTAGAGCACTGCCTAGCAAGTGTGAGGCCGAGTTCAAACCCCAGTACCACCAAAAAAAGGAGGGAAGTAAGAAGGGGAGGGAGGGAAGGAGGGAAGGAGAGAGGGAGGGAGCGAGAGAGAGAAATGGCACCAGTCTCACGTTTGCTGGGGAAGGATTATACTGGCCAGCTACCTGAGGCTCTGTCAAGCCCTATGCCATAAACATGAAATAGATACTGAGATATATTTTCTCTTATTCCAAGGGTGTCAGACCTACTCTTTAGAATCCAAGCCACACAAAAATCAGCATCATTATTTTATAGTTTTTTTAAAAATATTTTGCCTCCAGATAGTACTTTCTAAATCTGCTCCCTTTTTTAAGTCACTAGTTATACTCTGGAACCACTCTGGTTTTAAAACTACCCACAAGTGAGAAAGATATATAATAATGAAGCACAATATACTACAACATGCTATTGGACGTTTTATATCATTCTTTCATTAAAATTTAGAAAATCTGAAGTAAGAGTGGTGTCACTGAAAAACTGATTGCCACCTTAGGTGACTCCACTGAAAAACAAAGCTATGACAAAACTCACTGGTATGTACACACCATAAGTATGTAGAAGTATCAGTTTACAATACTAACATAACATCTCAAAGAGGTAGTTCTCATTTAAATGTAATATAGCACAAAAATAATAAGACAGATCATAATTTCTAATTTATAGTTATACTCCTTCATAGGTAATATGCTACAGTGGGAAACTCCCAGGATTTTAAGCCAGACAACACAGGTGCAAGGCTTGGCTAAGTAATCTTGGGCAAGTCACTTAGCCTCTTTAAGCCTCAACTGTTTCTGAAAACAAAACAAAAATAAACAAGCCCTTCCTATCCCTCAAGATTTTTTAACCCATAAAAGAGATAAGTATAAAAGCATACTATATAACTGTGAGCTATTAGTACTTAGTAATTATAATGTTCATAAACTTTTCTTAAGTTTCTAGCTTATAACAGGCTATAAATGAAAACATGATATATTAATTCAAATATGTAATAAGTCTTCTTTGGTACTTTAATATTAACTCAAAAACATTTAAAAGTGAGGAATTAACTAAGACAAACATATCTAGTAAACATTGTTTCAAAATAATTATAATAAATCCCTGAGCTATTTATTGAATGGGTTATTATATAGAAATTTGAAGGTAAGGCTTTTATTAAAAAGATCTGATGGAATATACTAAAGCACATGAATTCAAGAAACCACTTCAAACACACACACACACACACACACACACACACACACACACACACACACACACACACACACACACACACACACACACACACACACACACACACA